CATTTCTGGGGCTGGTGATCCAACTCACAATGAAGTGGCTGTTGCTAACTCACAGTGCTATGCTTTAACCCATTGCGCCACCAGGGAGGGCACTAAGTTTCCATTTTAAACTGGTAAAAAAGAGCAAATTAAACTTATCACATGTAACAGGATAGACATAAAGATAAGAGGAGAAGAGAAGACAACTCCTTGGTGGCGTAGGGGTTAAGTCTCGGAGCTATCACCACTGCAGCCTGAATTCAATCCGAGCCAGAGAGCTGACCCCATGGCACAGCAGACCTCTTGGATCTTGCCAGCTGCTCCCCTTCAGCATTGTATTTCAGTAAATCCGCCAGTTCTGCTCCTCACTCTGTCTCTGGTGAATCCTTTCAACCCTGCACATCTGGTTTACAACTCAGTTCTACATTAAAAAAAAAAAATCTTACAATAAAGGCATGCTTTTTCTTTTACATTTATTTTTATTTATTTATTCATGCAAGAATTGGGGTGTAGGCCAGAGGTGGCAGTGGTGGGGTGGGGGAGGAGAGAGGGTCGAGAATTCAACAGACAGAGTGGAGCTCAGAATAGCAGAAATAGTCTGCTGAGGGGATCAGACAAAAGTAGTCAGCTGTGCCATGTGGGTTAGCTCCTTGGCTAAGGATGGAACTAATGCTGCAGTGACTGGTTATAACTTGATAGTCCTGAGACTTAACCCCCTGTACTACCAGGGAGACCCCAAAGGAATAATCCTTTTAAAATATATGCATTAAAAAAAGCATAAGAGGAAAAAATTCATTAAAACCACAAGCTGGTTCTTTGAGGAAAAAAAAGGTCAATAATCTTGGTAAACATGTAGACTAACCAAAGGAAAAAATGACACAAATTACTAATAACAGAAATAAAAGAAAGGAAATCAGTAAAGATTCTATAGACATTAAAAGTAAATATTACAAACAATCCTATACCCATTAAACTACTTAAATAATATAAAGCAAATTCTTTAAAAGACACAAACTTGAAAGAGTCACTCAAGTAGACATAGATAATCTAAGTAGTTTTATAACTTAATTCCCGGGTTAAAAAAAAAACCTTCCAAGAAAGTAAACTGCAGGCCTAGCTGGCTTTACTGACAAGTGTCTTTAAATATTGACATTTAAAGAGAAATAATACTACTTCTAAAGAATTCTTCCAGAAAACAGAATGAGTTAGCATTCTCCAACAATTTTTTTTTCCAACAATTTTTTTAAGGTCACTATTACCTCTTATTAGAACCAGAAAAAATGAAACTGGACCACTATTTCACATTGTACACAAAAATGATTTCGAAATGGATTAAAGTCTGGAATAAGAGACCTGAAATTCTAAAATATGTTAAATATGTTTTGTTTGTTAAAAAAAAAACAACCCAGAAACCAAAAGAAGCTCCCTGAGATAAAGACTTGTCTGGAGTTTTGGCTCTAAAGGGAGTCAAGGAATACAAAAGCAACACAAACAATGAAAACTGTCAAATTAAAAAATCTTCTCCATGGGGGAAGAAACTACCACTACAACAAAAAGATAATCTACTGAATGGGAGAAGATATTGTTAACCACAGGCCCACAATCAGATTAATATCCAACGATATAAAGAGCTTTACAACTCCACAAGCCTCTTCTCAAAGAACACACCACACAGTGGACAAACACTGGAGCTGAGGGGGTCGGAGGGTCTTGGAATGGGAAGGGTTAGTGGTGGCAACTTTCGTGGAGGCTTTGGCATGGGTATTGGCTGTGGTCAGGCTAGGCCCCCAGCACAGAGCTAGCTATTAGAGGTAAGCTGTCACTAATGTGGACTCCCTGATCAGGGCATGAAGATCAAATCTCTAGAGGAGGTCTATTCTTCCTTGTCCATCAAGGAATTTGAGATCATTGATTTTTTCCTGTGGCCATCCTAGGATGAAGTTTCAGAGACTATGTCTATATAGAAATAGGCCATACCGGTTGGTGAACCAGGCATTTGTCATCATTGGTGATAATGACAAATATGTTGATCTGGATGTTAAGTGCTCCCAAGAGGCAGGCCACTGCCATCCAAGGGACCATCATTCTGACTGAGTTCTTCATCTTTCCCATGAGATGAAGCTATTGGAGGGATAAAATTGGCAGGCCCTATACCATACCTTCCCTTGCTAGGTGACAGACCACTGCTCTGTGCTGATGTGCCTCTCATCCCTGTGCCCAAAAGTACTGGCAATCTTGGCCTCTGTATCCAAAAAGCTGCTGATGATAGACAGTACCAATGACTGTTCCGCCTTGTAACTAGGGGCTGCACTACCACCTGGCCAAATTTGCCAAGAACATTTTCAATGCCATCTCCAAGACCTATGCTATCTTACCCTGACCTCTGCAAAGAGACTGTGTTCACTAAGTGTCCCTAGCAGGAATTTACTGACCATCTTGTGAAGACCCCAACCAGAGTCTCAATGCAAAGGACCCAGGTTCCAGGTGTGGCCACCACATAATTGTTATACTAGAGAAAAAAAGTGGATTAAGTCTATTAAAAAACAACTGCTTCAGGCATTCCTGGTGGCACAACGGGTTAAAGCACAGCACTATGCAGTGACTGTCCATAGTCCCTGCAGCATAAGTTCAACCCTCAGCCGGGGGATCCACATGGCATAGCAGACCTATCTTTGTCTTGTCCGCTGCTCCCCTCAGCAGTGTATTTCAGCAGATCTGCCTGTTCTGCTCCCCACTCTGTCTATGGTGAATCCTCTCACCACCCCTGCACCTCTGGCCTGTATCCCAGTTCCGTATGCATAAATAAATAAATCTTTAAAATATATATATATATATACCCCACTCCAGTTCTCTTTCCTAATTGAAAGATTATTTTTCTTTAATTGTACATCAAAAGACTGAGGGTAGCTTAACACCCTCAGAAAATTCTACATTCTCAAAACAAGAATGATATTAAAGCAGGGTGGATATAAAACCCCAGGGCACACAGAGCATATTTGGTCAATAGAAAGTCTGTAGGACGGTACTCATGGGAGACTTCTGGCCCCTTAAAAAAAAAGAAAGACATGGTTTTGATCTGATAACTGTAATTTACCATTCTGAGAGGAGCTAACATGACACAAAAACTATATTGAGCAAGAAAGAGCAGAGAAACAGAAAAAATACCTGGACCCTAGTGAACATTGTTAAACAACTGATCACACCATTTGAGAATTGGTACTCTTTGGAACTCTTGTAATGTGAAATGATTTTCTAATTGTTTAAGATAGTTTTATAAGTTAAAGTTTCCTAATACTTGCAACTGAAAACAGAGAACTAATCAAAAAACATAATCCTACTGCGTAAGTTGTCCTAACAAAGTTATATATATAGTTCTCTTAAAAGTTTTCCTCTACTGCTCTTAAAAGCCTATTAGAGGGATTCCCTTGGTGGCGCAACAGGTTAAAGTGCAGCACTATGAAGCTGTCCACAGCTACGACAGCACAAGTTGGACCCCCCAGCCAGGGAGGTGACCCACCTGGCATGGCAGACCTCTCCTGACCCACCTCCTGCTCCCTTCAGCAATATGTTTCATATATTTGCCTGTTCTGCTCCCCACTCTATCTCTGGTGAATCTCCTCATCCCCCACATCTCTGGACTGTACCCCAGTTTTGTATGCATTAAAAAGAAAAGTCTAGGCCCTCCCTGGTGGCGCAGCGGGTTAAAGCACAGCCTTGAGAATCTAAAGCCGCTTCCCCATGAGTTCGATTCCCGCCTGCCCTGGAGGTGACCACATGGGTGGCAGACCTCTCCTGACCCGTCCACTGCTCCCCTCAGCAGTGTACTTCCTTGATCTGCCTGTTCTGTTCCCTGCTCTGTCTCTGGTGAAGCCTCTCACCACCCCTGAGCCTCTGGCCTGTACCCCAGTTCTGTATGCACAAATAAATAAATCTTAAAAAAAAAAACTATTAGAAAAGGTTTTCCTCTTCCTAAACAAATATTCTTTTTTTATCATTTATTTCTACTCTTCTTGTAGAGTACTTGTTCTAAATCCCCTCCACTTTTCTCAGGATACAGGAGTTCCAAGCAGGAGATAAGCATTTTCATAGTCTCTACAGAAGGAATGAAGCAAACTATCAATAATGACAGAAAACATATCAGTGGTTGCCAGGGATGGAGGAGGTATGATAGAGGTAGTAAGGGGTACACAAGAGGAAAATTCTAAAGGGATACAAAGAAATTTGGGGGAGGTGATGAATATGTTCATTACCTTGATTATAGTGATAGCTTCATATATATACACACACATCAAAACTTATCAAAATCTGTATACATTAAATACATATAGTTATTATATATCAACTGTATCTCAAAAAGGCTTAATGAAGCTAAAGTTTTATAATAGCTAACTTTACTGAGTTTCTTTCTGTTCCTGTGCAGTGTAAAGGACTCTTTCTTGACCTTTCAAACTCCAGATATGAGTGACTACTACTTACACAAATTTACAGAGATATCTGACCTCTTTTAGAAACTAAGTTAACTCACTAAAGCTGAAGAGTTAAATTTCAAGGATTCAATAGCCAAAAAGTTTCACAAAAAGAATTTTATCTAATACCCATTTTGTCTCATAAATAATGCTAAAAATACATAGGTATATTAAATCTCCTTAAAATCTTGTACCTTCTCAAATCACACAATGTTCCTCTGGGATCCAAGCTCTTCTATTTGCCACTGTCAATTCCCACCCACTCTTTCACTCCCTTCTCAACAGCAGTCACTAAATCCACAAGCCTCCCTACTCAGGCAACTAGGGCTAAAGGTTGCCAGCCCTTACCACTAAATTTTCTGCTGATGTAAATTCCAAGTTCTTACAGGCAAATACATCCACATATACCTTCCTTCTGCCTGAAAGAGAACAGTACTATGTTTCATTGCCAAGAAGGGCACCAAGTACCTAGAGATTCTTCTATAGTCTTTTTCTCCCACATGCCAAAAATCAGACAGCTGATGAGGAAAGAGTAAATAGAAAAAACCTGCTTACCCATGGAGTAGAGGTTGTCAAAGCTCTGATGCATGCGAATAATCTCATAGTAGAGTTCATCGTAGCTGCTGGGAGTGGGCAGGAATGTATCACCATATGTGATAAACATATTAAATAGGTTCACAATCTAAAAAAGAAACAAAAGCCCTATATAGACATCATGCTATAAAACCAGAAGGGTATTTTCAGTGGTATGCTGTAGCCTTTCTCACTGACTTGCATGAGATAACTGTTAAATTTTCAGGAATTTAATGGGCAGGCTGTTAACCATTAGTAAAACTTAACCTACAACTAATAAATAAGTCATCAGTAAAACATAACTTACAACTAAATCAATAAGTGATATTAAAATGGACTCAAAACTTATCATTTTCTAATTATTTTATTTTATTATTATCCGGGTGTTTGAGATTAATTTACACTTCAAACCTGTGTGGTAGGAAAATCATAAAGCTGTATGTTACTGCACATCTCTTCCCAACACGACACTCAGTGATACTACCCTAATTATCTTAACCTTGGTCATAATGGCTTTAGTTCTACCATGGAAATCAGTAAACACTAGGTTTTTCCCCCATAAACATTAAGTATTTATAAACATATACTTCTTGAAGAAGACAGTCAAGAGCATAATGCCTTTCTTCTAACCCAAATAACCAGTCAGATGAGCAAGCACGGCAATGTTCCTCCAGTAACCAAGTGCAGTTGTGAAGGAACCACTAATCTGACTGGGATACCTCTAGAGGTTTTGCTACTTAGCCACATTAAGAGACTGTAGTAATGCAATACAGTCTTTCAACTGGGACCACGGTTCACTATTTATACACAGAGATCTGATCTATACATGTCCTGCCAGATAATATGCTCTCAAGAAAGAGAGTCCCAGATTTGCTAAGACATAGATAAAAACAAGGAGGACCCAAAAAGACTCTAACCCAAAAACAAAGTAAAGCTCTGATTCTCCCTATGACTCAGTTTCCAGACCACCAAGTCCTATTTCAAACTGACATAGCTCTGTCTTAAGAGAAGTTTTCAGATAAAGAAACATTTTGTTGTTACTCACCATAAGGGCTAACGTAAAAATGTTGTGTTTGGCCAAAAGTACAGTCTCATTTGACATAAGGAACTTCAGCAAATTTATCAAGGCTTAAAAAAAAAGAAAAAGACAATAAGCTATTTAAAGGGTAATCAATAAAGTTCAGTGAAAGCAGACTAGCTCCACAAAAACCCAAATAAGGGTAGAAAGAGGAAGCAGTGACCAACCCAAGTACGTTTGCTTACCTACCCAAGGAATGATTTTCTTCTTAAAAAGATTTATTTATTTGTGCATACAGAACTGGGGTACAGGCCAGAGGTGCAGGGGCGGTGAGAGGCTTCACCCGAGACAGAGTAGGGAGCAGAACAGGCAGATCGACGAAGTATACTGCTGAGGGGAGCAGCGGGAGGGTCAGGAGAGGTCTGCCGCGCCATGTGGGTCACCTCCAGGGTGGGCAGGGATCGAACTCATGCAGAAGTTGCTTTCGCTTCTTAGTGCTGTGCTTTAACCCACTGTGCCATCAGGGAGGGCCCAGGAACAATTTTTTTTAAATCTACTTCTTTTTGCTATTTCTTAAATAGCAACTAAGAGCAATTTAGAATAGTGAAGTTATGGAGACAACTTAAATACCCTAAGGCAGACAAGTGGATAAAGAATATGTGCCATATATACACAACAGAATACTACACTCAGTTATAAAAGAAAAAAAAAAAAAAGATGAAATCTTTCCATTTGCGACAACAGGCATGGTGTTGGAAAGGTTTATACTCTGTAGAATCAAAGCTACCAGAAGGTTAGGGAAAGGGGCCCAATGGACCCTGGTAGAGGGACAGAGGTTCCCAATGGTAGGTGTGATGTGGTAATACACATACAAAAAGCTGTAAACCTAAACCTCTGAATCATGTGCACTGCTATAAACCAACAAAGTAAAGGAAAAAAAAGAGCAAAAAAGACAGAAATTCATAAAATGGAAATCTTAATATTCTAAGTTTACTCCCACATGATTTCCCCATATTTGCTTAATTTACAAGTAAAAATGAGGACCCATCTCACCCTAAGCTACAAGCACTGCGTGTCAACAAGCTTTAAGTATTTATTTGTTTCAATCATTGTTAAGAGGGATATAGTTCAATTTAACTGGTCATAAGATGTGGAAGCTGTTACAGCAGAATCTACAGTTGTTTCAGTGCTAGACTGGGAAAGAGCTCATAAAGAGGGGAAAAAATAGGCCCTTACTGCCTTTACTATTCAAATAAAAATGCAGCTTGATCTATCTTCTCTGAACCAGGAAAACATTTACCAAAAAGATCCCCTTTCTGTCTGGCAATCCTCACTAAAGCATCCTAGTTTAGCCATGCAAGTGCCAGGTTTACAATGCAACTTTAAAGACATTTTTACAAGTAAATGTGAAGTATTAAAAAAAAATCATCAGTTGATTTTTAACTCTGTTATCCAGAATCACTAAATGAATCCTGTTTCTGTGCATATTTTTAACTGCTGCTCCTATATCTAGCTGCCCCACTCAAGGGGAATCTATAATCAGTGGTCCTTCTTTCTTCTTCCACTTTCACATACATAAAAGACTTGACCTCTCCTTTTTAAACATCAAATCTGCTTCTTGCCAGCAGAGAAGTCCATTCTCCCATGCTGGCTGAGCTTTGTGTTAAGTTCAGGAGAGATGTGAGCTTTGATTTGAAACAGCAGGGAATGATGAGTGACACTCTCCAGACACTTGCTACCTACCACAAAACACCCCTCCCTCTCAACCCTCTGAAACGCAGGTATAGTAAAGAAACAGTAGGAAAGAAAAAGTGTAAGACCCTGTCTACAATCTGTTCCTAAAGCCTGAATATTCCCCACTAATAGCAAAAGAAAAATCTTGCTAGGGATGAAGAATACAGGCATCCTCATTTACTAACTCTGCATCCCTGCCCCAACAACTTAAGTTCTCTGAGGTTTCAAAGTGGAAAGCTTTCATATATGTCCAATAGAGGACATAATAGACAAAACTAAATTAATTAATTAGCTAATTAATCAATTAAAGTGTCTTCATGGGAGCCTATTCAAGATCACACAACCAATTTATTGCCTACCAGGGGCACAGAGAAAGAAAAGAACTAGCTAAAATCCATATAAAAATAATTAACCCCAGTCAAACCATGCTCCTTAAGGAAGATCATCTTGCTGAGTTATTTAAAGGCTGCCCACTTCAGCCCCTAACCCCAGAGCTTAAACAAGCCTGGTAGTGGATAAATTACCTGACAATCAGACTCTATAAACTCACAGGGGACAAGAGAAGAGGATGGGTAACACAAGTGGCACTCTGCAAACATAATGACTGGAAAGAGACAAAGTAGCTTTTGCAGACATCGGATCAACTAGGGCTTTTGTCCCCAGCACCCACAGCACAAAGATGCAGCTTCAGCATTGGACATGTGGTAATTAAGGGACAGGAAGCCTGGTGAAAAGAAAGTGGAAGCAATGATTTATTGCTTCTCTGCTAGACTACAGCTAGTCTTGATCTCTGGGATTCAGAGTCAAGGATGACAAAGTGATAAATATGAGGGGAGGAAGAGAGCAAAGAGGGCAAGAGGTGACCTGTGTCCCAACTGCAACCAACATTGACAGCGCAAATGGCACTGAAAAGAGCCCAGCGCTACAATGCTCTGTGACTCAGTACAGAGGGACCTGCATTCTGCTCCTGATTCAGGTCAGACACAGCCCCATCCCAAAGAAGTCAGAATTTTTTTTTTTTACCTGGGAATTAACAGGCAGCTAAAACGAACAAAGCAACCTTAAAATTAGCTCCCACAAGCTTCTGGCAATCAGGCACCATGACCCCCTTCAAGATGTAATGCCCCAAGTATCCCACAGCTAATGCTTTTCTCTTCTCTTCCCTGATGCTGCACTCACTCTATCAGCTGTTCAGTGTCTTACACACCACTGCAAACATAGTCTCTTCTATATTCCAACCTGACGTGATAGGAGTTCTAAACCTGTGAGGCTTTGACTTTGCTGGTGATAGATTTTTGGAATTCCCTCATTTTTGGATAAGAGAACTACCCCCTGCTAGTGACTAACCTGGGACTTGATCTCTTGTTTAGTGTTCTTGCTACTATGCCATTCAGATAGATTAAACAAAGGTGACAGATGGAGTTAAAGGGAGGGAAGCTGACAAATAAATGGTGTGCTGAGACTTGTGACTGTTGTTACCAACACTTCTCTCTTCTCTGAGTTATAACTTTCACTACCTCCTGGCAGCTCATGTTATTTTCATGTGTTTAGGACCGTTTTTCTTTCAGTCCTCACTACTTACTATAACATATAACAGATAGTTATTTCCTTATTACTGCCTTTCTCCTACTCACTCTCAATATAAAGAGTCCCAATCGCTTCTCTCAATACAAACTGCCTCAGCAGGTCCCTACCTGCTCTCATCTCCTCTTTACCTCTCACATCACACATAACACTTTCACCTACTCCGCTTCTGCATGCTCTCTACTATCTCAAAAAAAAAATCACTATTTTTTAAAAAAACTATTCAGCTATTCAAACTAAAACTATCTCTCTGCTGTGGTAACATGTATCTGAGGTTATGAGCCTACATCCCAAAATCATGTACAATGTTTTAAACCAGTGTTAATTCGATACAACATGATCTTAAAAAACAGAAAAAAAAATTTAACATGGCTGTTCCTATTTTCCTCATGTAAAATTACATAGTGAACATGGACATGGTTGGATCTGGGTCTGAAAAAGAGACATGATCCCCTTTCTTTATGCAAAAATCAGGACCAAAACAAAGAAACAATAAACAGTCTTGTTCATAAGCTATTATAGTATAGTGGTATGCACAGAGTTTAGACAGCAAGCCAATGAAGAGACCAGCCTCCTGTCAGGGGCAGCTTCAAGGACAACAGAGGACAGTTACTTAGGATCTCAGTGCCAACACACAAGTAGCAGAGAGCTCATGCTGGCTGGCTCTTGTTTCACCCCCTCCACACATACGCATTTTTAGCAAATTGCCCTTGAACCACTTGTCCACTTGGTGCCATCTGGGCACATGACCAGTGAAACTGTTTCAAGGACAGTCACAAAAGTAGCAGTACACAGAGGGAAGTGTTAACTAAAAGATAAATGCTGGTTGTATAAACATAGTATTGTTAATTAGTCATATGTCTATAAGAGTTTGGTATCTAGTACATATTGCAGTCATTGTACAGATAAGAGGGACAGGGTGTACATTTCCTGTTGCTTTTTTCTGTTGTTTCAATATAACACTTTATCATGTTTCTAATGTTTAAATAACAGCTTTAAAAGAAGAGAAGGATAGGAACCAATAAAAGTTCTTTCTGACCAAAGACTAAGCATTGGTCAAAAGGATTTCCAAAGGGTCTTTGTTATAGAAACTCAAGACTGTCAACAGTTTTGCAAAGTGGGTGAGCAACTATCCTCACAGTCACAAAACAGAATGGCCCAACTTCCTGCGGAGTATCTTTTCAGACAAAGTCATGGATGATGGTTTAGGCTGTTCTGGTCCTAACAGATAATTCTCACTGGCTCCCATCCTCCACAGCCCTGGGAGCAAGCTAGCCCCAAAATACCAACACCAGAAAGACATATCATAGGTTTCTAACATAACTTCCTATTGAGTGACAACCACAATTAATAACTGTGCCAGAACCTCAGAATATCTCAGATCATCCTCTTTTCTACAGCTTTCTTCCTGAAATCTTAAAAAGAGAGACTTAGCCATAGAATTCACCTCCCCCAAACTGCATTCATCTCTTTTCAAAGGAAAAAAAAAAACATAATGGTTAAAAGGCAAGGGAGGTAACATTAGGTACCCAGCATTATGCAAAACACTTAAAGTATTATTACTCTCGCTGAGTTCTCTCTCCTATCAGTGAAATAGATATTCTCTATTAGATATTTACAATTAACAAAATTCAAATTCAGAAAGATCAAATAAGTCACCAAAAGCCACACAGTTAGTTGGAGCTAAAGTGCCTTATGAGCAATATAATAAGCAGTCACTGAGTCAAAGCTGAGGCCTGTGAAACTGTACACTGATTTCTCCTAAAAATTTCAATTTAAAAAACATTAAGCT